TTTTTTTTTTTTTTTTTTGTAAAAGGAATATATATTGGTGTCACAATATTAATGGCACACGTGTGGAACCTGTCGAAAGGTGGTAGGCATGTACGAATGGAGGGTCCCACAAGAAATCAATTTTTAAAAAATTTATTGTCTTTGGGGTGGGCCCAATGGGCTGTAAAGAAGAAGGGCCCACGTGGGCTTTGATTAGTTGGCATGGGCCCGTTGGGGATGATGTTTGTCTGGCTGCTCTGCTTTGGAGGACGACTAAGACAAGTCCCTATCTTTTCTCATACCCACTTTGCCTTCAAATATTCTCACCATTCACCATCAAATTTTACCTTCAAATTCAATTTTACCTCCTTAAACATTCTTTAATACTTGTGACATCTGAAAATCTACGAGCGAATTGTAACTGACCAGGTGGCCTGTAGATCGAGTGAGATCATATGTTATATGGTGCATCGTATCGATCATATGCAATCAAAAGTTAGCAAACAAATCGCAACTCGATTAAATGAAAGTCGCTTGATGGGTTTAAGTTCAACTAGATGAGACTATAATTCACCCAATAGATCATACTTGAACGAGATGAGATTATAAGTAATATTTAACCTCATAACCTTGGTGAATCCAAAAATAACCAAGTGGGTCATGAGACTTGAAGTCACCTAACATGCTATGAGTATCAATCAAGTTGAAAGTTGACAAGTGTGGCTAGCATGCCCTACCTAGTAGCTTGTAATCATTGTGCCATGAATGTATCGACGAAACCAAATTGATCCACTTTTAACCCACCGCTAGCAAATATTATCCTCTTTTGATTTTCTTTCGAATTTACCTTCGAGGTTTTTAAAACGTGTATGTTAGGGAGAGGTTTTGACATCCTTATAAAGAATGTTCTGTTCTCCTCTTCAAATTGTCCACCAACAAGACTCGCAATGGCCCAAGACATTCAGCAGAACTTGACATGTTGCAACACTTGTAGAGGTCGAAAGCCTTAGCCACACATCGTTGTAATTGCCGCACTGCTTGACACACCTCGACCTTCAAAACCTTAGAATCGTTGTCGTTGTGATTACTAAGTGAGATCATAATGTTCTCTCTGTGGCAAATTTTACATTTCAACTTCCTATTTTCAAAATTTAGGAAGAAGGGAGCATATTAGTAAAAAAAATCATTGTGAAAACCCAAACCCACCACCCGTAGATATTGTTTCTTTAGGCTTTCTCTCAAGGTTTTTAAAACGTGCCTATTAGGGAGAGGTTTCCACACCCTCATAAAGAATGTTTCATTCTCCTCCTCACCCGACGTGAGATTTCACACTACATCCTTGTCAACATTGGACTGTGATGAATCAGACAAATTCAAGATTTTGAGTACCATTTATTAAAAAAGGGAAAGAAGCTGACCACAATTCTTCCGACTTCGTCTTTACAAATACCCTATAGCACCCTTCATCGGGTTTCCCATCATGAACAATATGTGCAATCAAGTCGTACTTCGACGCAATTTAGTAAAATTTGAATATCTTCTAAACTTCGAAATATGGTATTTATTTCACTCTATGATTAGAGATTAGCATATCATCATGGCACTGGGGTAAGGTAAAAACACTTAGCCCCAAGACTCGTCCATTATTTCAGTCCCACGAGTGCAGGCATGCAGAGACGCACATGCGTATGCACATAGTCGCCACGTAGGGCTACATGTAGTATGCGAATATCACACCTCTATGTGCAACGCCTGCTACCCGTGCAATGTTTGTCTAAACACACGACCACCTATTCAATCAACCAAGAATTTCATTCACAAACAACTATCAGCATCTTCATGGCACCATACTAATCGAGGCTTTGCACAACCTCAATGTTCCAACATCAACACATTTTGTCAACATATTTGCTAGGATATTTGCACCCTCTATCTTCTCCAAACACATCACCATCTTCCACTAACCTGTGAGTGAAATGGTATTGCCTTCTGTGTTTTGTCTTTGAATGATAAACCGGGTTTCTTACTGACTGCATGACACTCTAACTATTTGTATAAAGAATATTCTCATGCTGCTTCTTACCCAATTCTTCTAAATAGTCTGTCATCCATATCATATCCTTTCCAGCTTCTGCTATTGCCATGTACTCAGCCTTAGTAGAGTTCTCGGATTTCTTCCCCCCTTCCTTGATAGTATTTACCACATACCAGGCAAGCATAAACATTCAGATTTGAGAGAGAGACGGAGCAAAACTTCTCGAAATCGAAATCCAAAACATGAAAAGCACAAGCATATATGAATTGACAAGAAGTAAAGAACACTTACTAAATATTTAGTGACAAGTAACAAACTCATTGCACAAACAAATGGCCTTAACTATGAGATGCAGAAATGCAGAACGAATATACGAACAAGAAACAAATGCACCTAACGGTTCACGGTATAGAGATAGGGACAATCTTTTCGAACTTCAACATCTTATCAAACTTCCCTTATCTATATCTATATCGATAGCTAAAACTAAAACGAGCAACTTATAGACTCCATTTAAGGATTCTACTTTGTTGAATATGTTTATTTTACTTGGAACATAACCTGTAACTTTTTAAGCAAAGTTCATGAATTGAAAGCATATAGACGGCTCTTATTTCAAGTAAATTCAAAGTATCATTGATTATCGTATCCGTGAGTGTCTAAACCAACATAGAGCTAGTTTTGGCACCTTGACTATTCTCATGAGACAACCACCTCTTCGTGTTACATTTGGTTGTAAAGGTAACTTGTAAGATATTAAATCTAGAGACGTAAGTGGGTCGGGTCAGGTCCTCTTTTTTTTGTGCAAAACCGACCCGACCCAAAATCTCCGTTTATTTGCAGTTTTTTTGTCCAAAGAATTCTAGAGTTCCTAAAATTCATCTCCCCCTTCCAACCAAAGATCAAGTTCATTTTTATAACCAAACATGTGATACCCATGTTGGTTGGGGATGAGAACGAAACACTCTTTGTAAGGGTGTGGAAACCTTTCCCTAGTAGACACGTTTTAAAAACCTTGAGGGAAACCCGAAAGGAAAAGCCCAAAGAGGACAATATCTGCTAGCGGTGGGCCTAGACCGTTACAATACACGACCAATTGTCAGCTTCATAACCCAAAACAAAAACAATGACAGAATAGGGGCTTCAACTATTCTCTCTATTCCTCCTAACAAAGGTATGTTAATACTCAATATTGCATAGCATCATTCAGAAAGACAATAAGAACAGAGCTCAAGAACCAAATCCAACTACCAAATCCTTCAAAAACAGTCAAAACTCAAAAGAAATTCAGCAATCCATTACTCAAAAAACATCCGGTGACCGGAAAACTAACCTTAACGTCGTCGAGCATGAGCAGAAAGAGTGGGAGATTGAATGGCAGCGAGGTATGCACCTTCCAAAAAAAATTGAACAGTTTATTTTAATTAAAGCAACTGATCGAACACCATAAGCCTTCAAACATGAACACAAGAAAGAACGAGAAAAGCTTGTAAAATGAAATAGAATACCGAAAGCCTCCAATTAATCACATTCTTGAATATGAAAACGAACTACATGATTAACTAATGGCTTTTTAAGCACATGATAAGGTCAGATATTCAGTTAGTCAGATCTCAGATAAGCAATCGAAAGATTCTCGAAAATCTCCCTAAAAATTAGGTAAAATGCGTAGAAGCGATTAGCCAGAAAATTCAAGCAGGACGAAATCCGTGAAGAAAGGGGCAAAAGGATACCTGAAAACCAAGAGGAAAGTAAAAATAAACCAGCCAAGAACTCACGGCGGCGCCGACGAGAGCAAAAGAAACAGATTCTCACAGCGGAAGGTGATACAACCGAAAGTGGATACAGATATGGCGCCCGGCGGCAAAGTTGGAAGGGTGAAAGGAGGAGACTGAAAGAGGCGCGAGAAACGGAGAAAAAAAATCACAGTCGGTTCGGTCTGAAACAGTGTGGAAAACCGAACCGGTTTGATGAATGTTGATCTATAAACTTAGGTACCAATTTAAGCTCTCATTTACTTTTAAAAAAAAAATTAAAAATACGTAATTTTTTATATTAATATTTCTAAATTTTTAGATATTATTTTTTATAAAAAAAAATTATTAATTTAAGCAAAATAATGACGTGGACACGCATGGGTCCCTCATGTCCTAATACAAAGGCACTTATAATTAAAATTAAAATAAAATAAATAAATAAAATTCCCTCATATATTATTTATTATATTATTTTCTCCTCATCCTCTATACCCACTTCTCTTCCCTAAACACAGAGAGAGAGAGTGAAAATGGGAAGCTTAATAGACTTTGAACAGACGGAGCTCCGCCTTGGCCTCCCCGGCGGCGACGCCGTCAAGAAAAGGGGTTTCACTCAAACTTTGGATTTGAAGCTCAATCTCGCGGCGGATTCCGACCAACGCCCTAAAACGACGGACACGAATGCCGTTTCCACCTCCGTCGGTACAGATCTTCCCAAGCCTCCACCGCCCAAGTATTATTCCTTCTCCTTTTTTATTTTATTTTTTTAATTATTTTTAAATAAATCAATAAAAGCTTTTAAAGCTAAAAGGGTTAGTAAAGTAATTTTATGGGGGTTTTTTTTTTAATTTTTAAAAGAAAAGGAATTTTAATTAATGCCAATTTCATTACTAATTAAAAAATCAAATATATATGCATTAATTTTTTTAAAATATAATTTATAATTTATTTAGAGAAAAAATGGAGTTAAAAATTAAAATTATAAATGATAATGTTTTTGTGGGCTTCAATAATTGAGTTGAGAAGAGGAAGAAAGGATGACCAAGTAAACAAAAGGTTATTATTGTGGTTTCGAATTTAAAGGAATTTATTATTATTATTATTATTATTTACTTATTTTTGTTGTCGGGAAAACATAGGAAAACTACAAAACATTTGGAATCTTTTTTTCTTTTTCTTTTTCTTTTTTACATTAAATTACAAATTATTCGTATAATTTTTAAAATAATTACTAATTCTAAGTTTTGAGTTTGTAATTATTCTTTTTTTAGTATTTTCTTTTATAAAAAAAATAATTGTTTTTTCCTAAAAGCATTTTAATTTTCCATAGAGAGTAAATAAGTAATATACTTTTTAAAAAGCATTTATTTTTTTTTTATTTTTTAATACTCGAATTTGATTATTATAAACTTATTTTCATTGGGTTGAATTTAAATAAATAAAAAATTTATGTACTAAGTTGATTTATAGGTTCAATTAAAATTTATTGCTAAGTTTAAAAAATACATTTTGATTTACTATATATTATTATTATTTATTCTCAAATAATTTTTAAATTTTATTTTTAATTGTTTAGAAGGTAACTTTTAATTAAATGTCCGGAAAATAAATAAATAAATGTTTACTAAATATCACGGTTTACCCAACTGACAAGCACACTGTTTTTTTTAACTTTTATCATCCTAACTTAACGTTTTCAATGAACTCGTGTTAAAATTTTTAAAATTTTAAATTTCTACTCTAATTACCTAAATTTGAAAAATTTTACCTTTAATTCATATTCATAAATATTATTTAATCTTCCAAAAACGTCTTTTGGCATCACCAAAAGCCAATAATTATCTAATTTCCTTTGAATATAACAATTTGAGATAATGACATGACAATAAAAAGAAAGAATAATAATAATTTATTAAAAAAAAAACAATATAAACCCAATTGAAATTAAATACAATTTCCAAAATTATTAACGGTGAAAATTTTATAATATTATTTTTAACAGAGCCCAGGTTGTCGGTTGGCCACCGGTAAAGTCGTTGAGAAGAAACATCGTAGCTCCAAAGAAGAGTACAGAGGAAACCGAGAAAGGCGCCACCGTCAGCGGCTGTGCCGATGCGGCGGCGTTTATTAAAGTCAGTATGGACGGCGCACCGTACTTACGAAAAGTGGACATGAAGATGTTCGGAAGTTACCAAGAGCTTTCTGATGCCTTGAGCAAAATGTTTGCTTCTTTCACCACCGGTAAAATTCCAACTTACTTTTTTACTTTTACTGTCTCGGAATTTGATAGAAAAATTTTAAATATTGAGTTAAATGACTCGACAATCTGACTAGCTCGAGCTAACCAACTCAAACCATATAATTTGAGTCCAATTTTTGGAAAATCGAAAATTTCGAGCGGGTTAGTAGGTTAAAAATTGAGTTAACCTTACTCTGCTTGTAAAATTATTATGGATATATACATTTCTAACCGATATTAGTGATGCATTGTGACTCATGAATGAAACGGGTACGGTGGGTAAGTAGAATTTTTCAATAATTAAAAAGTAAAAAAAACAATCCGACAACCCAACTCGAAAATAAAGGGTTACGTTTAGTGGTAAACTCTCTATTCGAGTTGCTCAGGTCAAATATATATTTGAGTTGGTTCAAAAGATTTTCTCAACCCGTGTACACTCATACAAAATATCAGGTAATTCTGGGGCACAAAAGATGAAGAATTATGCGAATGAAAGCAAATCAATGGATGTACGAAACGAGACTGATTACGTGCCTACTTATGAAGACAAAGATGGAGATTGGATGCTCGTGGGCGATGTGCCATGGAAGTAAGTCCTACTCCGCTTATTTGTTTATTTATTTATTTTCTTTAATTCATTATATATATATAAAAAATAAATTAATCATTTTTATTGTTTAATTCGACAGTATGTTCGTGGATTCATGCAAACGTTTGAGGATAATGAAAGGATTCGAGGCCATTGGACTCGGTAAGTTAATAAATATTTTGTTATATAATTTGGGATAAAAATAAATATTTTAAAGTTTATATCTAATTTTTTTTATTTATTTTAAATTGATATTTAAAAAGTTTACAAATATTATTTGAATTTTATTTATTTATTATTATTTATTTATTTTTGTTTACAAATAAAATTATTGGATAATGTAAATTAATATATAGATTGTTAATTTTACAGCCCCAAGAGCATTGGAGAAGTGCAAGACCAGAAACTGAATTACTAATATTAGGACATTATTTTTCTTGAATAATAATAATAATAATAATAATAATATTTATTATTATTAGGATTTGGTAGTTTGCAAATAATTTCCAAAAATTATAATAATAATAAAAAAAATGAAACCCTACTCAATAGAGGAAGGAATTTGAATCTCATATGTAACATATTTTTTTTTCCATGTAATTATTATATAAATGAAATATTTCTCGTGTTTATATATTATATTAATTAATATCTACTGAACTCGCTGTAGTAACTAAACAAGATCGAGTAATTCTAATTTAATTATAGGTTTAGTCGAAAAATTTTTAGATTTGTTTAATTAAAAGTTTTTAAATATTTTATTTTATGTCCGGGTAGGTTTTTGACACAATTTAATATTTGTTTAATTAACTATCAAGTAAAATAAAATGAGTGTAATAATAGCATTTTTTTTTATACAATATTGAAATATTTTTAAAATATATATGTATTTAATTTTTTTAAAAAGACAAGATTTTATGAAATACAATTTTAAAAAATTTAAAAATTAAACGATCAAAACACATTATCACTTAATTATAAATAGACGATTAAAAAAAATTGTAAAAATTTAAAATAGTTTTTTTCCTTTCCCCAGGTCCAATAAAAGAATTAATAGTAACGTGTGGGGTGTAATTTAAATACGAGAAATAAAAGGATGAGGTTGCAAATTTCTTTCTTAAACCCCCCAAAACCCTAATCTCTGCTACTTTATAAATAACAGAGAGTTCTGTGATTTCCATAGCATTTTGGCCTTGGAGATGTCCTTCCATCTCCGTCGAAGGTACTTCCTCTCTCTCTCTCTCTCTCTCTCTCTGTATCTCGTCGTCTTCTTCTTCTCTGTTGAAGTATTTTATTTTGCCCTAGAAATTGAGATTGTTGGATCTGCAAAAGCACATATCGAAGGTTTTCAGGTTCATTTCATAAATGCCTGCTTAGCTCAAAATTTGTGCGATATTATTTGCTTGTCTATGGCTCTCCTTAGTACGTCCTTTGGAGTCTAAGGCCGGCTTTGTGTCCGGCCTCCAGGGGATTTGGGAGTCATGACGAACATTTGCTTATTTCTCTTCCAACTTTCATTCATGGGGTTTTTCTTCAGTTTCTTTTTTAGATTGTTGTTTTAAGATGGAGATGTAGGGAGATTCTATTAATTGTTTCATTTTTTATTGTTAATGCTTGTCAATATGATTTAGATTGTTAGTATTTATTAAGAGTGTCGTAAGCTGCACGTATCTGTAGGTTTTAGTTTGATTTTTTTTTTCTCTGGATTCCGGCGTAGCTAGCAAGAGTAATGGGGAAAATACGGTTGTTTACTGGTAAATGGTCTTTTTAAGGACGGATTTTCAAGGAAATCAGTTCTGAAATATGCGATCTAATGGGGAATTGTGTTTTCAAGACACTCGTACAAGTCAAACATGTCTTGTATACAAATATCATAATTTTGAGCTTCGAAGAATATCAAGGAAATTGTGGATTAGGTGAACGTTTTTGTACCAAGGAAATTGTGCGTAACAAGATTATTAACTTACTAAGAACTATGCGAACTTGACATCATTCTTGAAATCTCCATATTTTTGTGTTTTATCTTTTGAAGCATCTGTAAGCTAAGGATTTTGATTTGACAGAGTGTATTGGCAGAGAACAATGTAGAACCCAAAAGTATTCTTTGATATTTTGATTGGGAAGATGAAAGCAGGGTGTGATGGAGCTGTTCGCCGACACAACTCCAAAATCTGCAGAGAATTTCCGAGCTCTCTGCATTGGGGAGAAGGAAGGGGATTGGGAGATCCGGAAAGCTTTTACACTACAAAGTCTCAACATTTCACTGTGTAATCCCGAACTTCATGTGCCAAGGAGGAGATTTCACAAGGGGTAATGGAACAGGAGGAGAATCAATCTATGGCATGAAGTTTGCAGATGAAAACTAAAAGATGAAACACACCGGACCAGGTGTACTATCAATGGCGAATTCTGGACAGAAACACCAATGGTTCTCAGTTCTTCATTTGTACTGAGAAGACTTCATGGCTGGATGGGAAGCATATTGTGTTTGGAAAAGTTGTAGATGGTTATAATGTAGTCAAGGAGATGGAGAAGGTGGGATCTGATAGTGGGAGGACTTCTGAAACTGTAGTGATAGAGGACTGCGGGCAGATAGATAGCATCTAGAGTTGAAGTTAGAATCGTTTGATCTTAGAAAATTCCCCTTTCTGAGCTCTCATGGCTGCCCAATAAAACTCATTCAAGTTAACAAGGACATGTCGAAAGGTGTCTGGGATGGAGAAATTCACTTTTAAGAGATACCGAGATTGGTAGCCTTTTCTCCTTCCTTCGACTCGAGAATAGGTATCAAAGTTAGTAGCTGACTCGAGAATAGGTATCAAAGTTAGTAGCTAGAAGAAGGGGCAAGTCTTAGATACCGAGATTAGTAGTCTTTTCTCCTTCCTTCGACTCGAGAATAGATATCGAGATGAGTAGCCTTTTCTCCTTCCTCTGACTCGAAAATAGGTATCAAAGTTAGTAGCTGACTCGAGAATTGGTATCAAAAAGTTAGTAGCTGGAAGAAGGGACAAGTGTTTCATATCAAAAACTTAATACTCCACAAAATAAAGGGCTAAAAGGAGTGGGAACAAAAACAATATGAATAACCAAAATGAAATTATGAAAAATTAGTCCCAATCTTCATCGCTCAACTGATCATCGTCCATGTCCTTTGGTGGCCTAACCACCAATAACACAGTCCCTAAACTCTCCTTCAACCCCATTTCCATCAATTCACTTCCTCTTTGAACCTTCAACTCCCCGTCGCTCCCGGTGGCTCCCGTCAGATAAAACCCATCTCCGGCCTCCACCTCTTTCCTACTCCGATCAGCCACCACCAAAATTGCCTCCTCCTTGTACCACCTATTCACCCGCCATGGCAGAGCCCTCGCATCCTTGAACGCCACCACCACGCCTCCCTTCCCCAGTCCTGCTATCGGCTCCCACCCCGGCAGAACCACCCACCTTCTCCACCCCTCCTCCGCCACCACAACCCCAAATTCCCCTTCACTCCTCACCTCCATTGGCGCCTCTCCCACACCCTTTCCCCCTTCCTCCCCATTGCACACAGGCAACACCACCACTGTTGTCGCCTCCGCTACCTCCCCGATCTTCAACCGCACCACCGGAACCCTGACACCGGCTTCGATTTCCTCTTCCACCTCATCTTTCCCCTCTCCTTCCCTCTCCAAATCCCTAACAATCAGACTTCTCGCTTCCTCCGTTACCGCTACTTTCAACGCGTCCTCCAACGCCGCGGTCCTCGCTTCGGACATATTGCTGTACTCTCTACTCAACCTGTAATGCATAAACGCTAAACAATCCCCAGGATAATCGTAGTTGAAACTCTCCCAACCTTTATCCCCTCTTCGCCGAGGAAAATCCTTCATCGCTCGAGCCAGATCTTGCGCACCCTTCCCATCCAGCCTGTTCTCCACTATATATCTGGCCGCCGCCGCACGTTTCTCGGCGTTGAGGAGCCGAATTTCATAGAGCAATTCGGCACCGCCGGTATCGAAAGCTGCAATTAAATCTGGATCAGCGTCGTTGATTGTCTGGACAAGGGATTCGCGAACCTGAGCGCCAACAACGAGGGTGTTCTGCTGGACTCCGCCGATTCCAGTGATTTCTTCGATAGTTGGGGGAGTGAAGCCCTCTTGAATCAGGGAGGAAATTAGCGGCGCGTACTCGAACCAGAGGCCGAGGCGGTTGGCGAGAACATCAAGCTTGCCGGCGGCGTCGAGGGAGCGGTACTGAGAGGGAAGAGGAGAGGGAGGGGGGCGGAATGGCTGGTAGACTTGTGGCTTGGCGACTAAGGGGGAAGGGGAAGGGGAGGGATTGAGAGAGGCGGAAATGGGGTTTGGAGGGCGGCGGAGGAAGAGGCGGAGAGGGGGGGTATGGAGGAGGAAGGTGGTGGTGGTGTGAGCAGCCGCCGCGGAGAGAGAGGTGGCAGGGGCGGTGGCGGAGAGCATGGTGTGGATGGATGGAAATGGAAATGGTGGGAGGAGAGGAGAGGAAGAGCGCCTGCTTATAACCTTATCTGATACCCATTTTGGAAGGATGGGGCTCTCATGGAGAGACGTGGGAGATATTTTTAGATCATTTTGTTTTTTAAGATTTTTTTTTTTCCTTCTATCCTTTTAGTTATTTCTTTTTTATCTCAATGAATATAGAAGATTTAAATTTAGATTAAAAAAAAAATAGAAAAGAAATCGACTTGACTTGAATTTAGTCGAGTTGGGTTGGTTTTAACGAAAACTTGACATGACCTGCTTATACACTACAACTTTACGACTTATTATATCAGTTCAACTTATCAACTCGTTTTGTAAAGTGAATGAGGTTTAATGTCACCATTTAGATTTAGATTTTCTTTTTTTAAAATTTAAAAAGGTGACTTTACTTGAACTTGAATTTGGTGGAACTGAGTTGGTTTTACAAAAAAAATTCGGTAAGACCCACTTACAATCTATGACTTATTATGAGCCTAATTTATCAACTCGTTATTTTGTAAACTGGACAAAAGTTAAGGTTTTTGTCGAAATCAACGTGAGAAGTTATCTTAGTTTTTAGTATCGAGAATTGAGAAAGAAGGTTGCAGAATCAATGAATCCCGAGATTCTTGTTTCTCAACTATGTCGTCGCATCTAGGTAATTTGACAGTTTCGTGCCCAATAACATAAAAATGAATGAAATCTTTTAACAATGCCTCTTTTTACATCATTCTAAGTTCATTTAACAACTTAAGATTTAAAATATATGTTTGGCTCGTATTCTATGACAACAAAATATTAATAGTAAGAGTCGTCGAGCTCTAACAGGTTAATTTTTTACTCAACTCTAATTTTTTTCAAAGTTTTTCAATCCAAGGCTTCACTTTATAAACCAAACAAAGAGACTTAAAAAAAAAAAAAAAAAAACCTAAGTAGCATTTCAACTCAAGCGAAAATTTTTGTCATAGTGTCTCAACATTGTTTATAGTGTCTCGATGATCACTTATAGTATCTTGACCTTATATGCAATGTCTCGATATTGCCAATAGTTAAATCTAAATGGAGATTTTAGAATGAACAAATTGGCCATTCACCTTAATTTCGACCAATTTGGAGGGCAAGGAGGCCATTTGAGTGTCGAGAAAAATTGATTTTCAAAGCTCGAAACATGGAGATTGAGCTGTATGCAAAATCTAGCTAATCAAGTTAGATAACAGATAAAATATATATATCAACAAGTCAATCAATACTTTGTGTAAATCAAAAGACGATCTATATCATATTTAAAACATGCAAACCTGTTAGGATGTCTATGTAGTTAAATCCCCGAGAGACTTAATTCATAAGGGAGATGTCCATAAGCTAGGAGAGGGACCGAGAAGCTTTCTGTACATAAATCCACTTCAATTAAGAGTATTTTTAAAAAAAAATTATTTAGAATTCAATTAAGAGTAAAAGAATAATTTTGAAATTTGTAAAAATTAAAAAATATTGCTAAAACAATTTAAAAAAAAAAAGTCGAAATAATTTAAAAAATTAAAAATTTGTCGTATATATAATAATGATATAATAATGATTATTTATTATATATATTCTTTTTTTTAAAGACGGCGAGTAATTAGTAATAAGTGATTTAGCGGAAACTTTTCAAAATATCGGACACACCTTACTATTGCTCGCGGACCTTTTTTTTTTTCTCTGTTTCTCAAAAGTCAGCTCTCTTCTAAGTTCGTCTTGCCGATCCTTGACGCCCCCATAGCGGACGGCGGCGGCGGCGGCGGTGCCTGACCATGCTATTACCCCCCACCTCCTCCTCCTCTTCCTTCCGCTTCTCTTTCCCCTTTCGCTATTTCAACAACAACCACTAGACTCTCTTGTTCCTGCGGTTCGTTTCTTTTCACTCTTAAGTCACATCCCCTAATGGACCCTTCACTTCTTGACGATATTATCAACCGTCTTCTCGAGGTCCGTGGCCGCGTCGGCAAGCAGGTTCAGTTGTCCGAGTCCGAGATCCGACTACTCTGTCAAGTTTCTAGAGAGATTTTCCTACAGCAGCCTAATTTGTTGGAGCTTGAAGCGCCTATCAAGATTTGTGGTATCTTTTTCCTACAGTACTTCTTGCTTTCTCCTGAGATTTACTGATCGGTTCTTGTTTGGTTGGTTGTTTGTAGATGTTCTTGTAGACATTTTTGAAGTTCTTGGTTTGTTGTTGTTGAGATTTTGGAGCTTTTCTTAGTTCTATTTGTTGATGAATTCTATTTGAAGTTCTTGATTTTCTGGGTTTTGTGGCTTTTCTTTGTTGAGTTGTTATGTAGTAGTTCATTGTCAATTTCTTTTACTATTAATCTCAAAGGATAAATCCCATATTATTATTTGGTTAAGTGGTTCATAGTTTATGAACCGAGGAGGTCTTTATGTTTGCGTAGATTATTGCAATATTCATACATTGTGTTTTTCATGGAAGCTTTTACATATCTTTGCCAATTTCATTCGTTTTTTGTTTTTTCATTTCTCATTAATCTTGTAATGCTATCTTCTCTTTAATAATCCCTTATTGTTACAAGTTCTATTATGGCACGCACTCGGTGTTGGGATTTACAAGTTTGATTTGATTTGTTCGATTGTTAGTCAATATTTTAATAGAAATAGTTGAAGTACCTTGGCAATCAAATCTAGCAGGGTTAGACAATTGTTCTATGAAAATAGTCAAAGTGCACGCAAACTGACTTGAACACTCACAGATATGTACATCAAAAAACATATTTGAAGTAGGCCTATTGGAAATGCTTGATGTCTTACTATAATTTCTTAATGATTGGCTCCCAAGGATGGGGTGCTTGCTATAATTTCTTAGGGCTTTCCACTTAGGGGGAGCACTAAGTTTGTGCTGGGCCATGCATTCAATTCCATGGAAAGGTGAGATGAGGGCTTTCAAGAGGTTGTGGTTGATGTTGATCCCCATCACTTTGTTGTAGTTTATAATAAGGCCTAATGCTTTTCAAAAACATATTGAACGGTATTGAAGAGGTTTTTGATGTTTTCTTCTTCAAACGAAGCGAGGACATTTCATATACAAATGGAAAATGGCTTATGGTCTTAGAATTACCTCCTCAAGTTGAGGTCTTCAATGAGGCTGGCAGGTGATTAAGAAGAATATAAATATTTACTTTATACACAAGCGTGAATCCATCATTTAAAGTTTGGAATTTAGCTTCAAGAACTGAATCTAGAATTCACTTTCCACTCAGTCAAAAGATTTTTCAAACTCTAGTTTGATGATTATTCCTTTTTTTTTCTTTCTTCTATTCGTTCATTGATTATTCCACGTTGAAGTATTCATCTAGGATTTGTATTTCGGAAGCAAAGGTTGATTGGAATTCTATATGGTTTGCGAAGAACTTTTGTGATCCTTTCAAAGAGAACTCTTGCAATACTTTTGTTTATACAAGAAATGAGGCTACTGGGACGGATGTCATGGATCAATTAACCTTCTATTGATGATGTCATTCTTAAAAGAAATCATGAAAACACCCTTCTGATAGATCAAGCTTGAGAATGTTCGATGACTTTTTTTTTATAGAATTCAATTGTAAAACCATTCTGGTCTGGGCACTTTGTTCGCACCTAGAGACTTAACTTTCTTCAAGACCTCTACTTCAGTGAACTCAATCTCCAACCAGAATTGTTGATGAGTAGAAACGGTACTCCAATTTAGGTTGATTGAGAGTATATATTGTCTATTCAATTCAGTTATGAGCATCACTATGGTGGTTCTTCCAACTGCTAGAAAGAAGCTTTAAAAATGGTGTTTTCCCCTCCAATCTTTGTTACCCAAAATTTTGGTAGCTAAAATACAGTGGAAAATTTTGGTGATATCATCCCCTCTAATCTTTGTTACCCAAATTTTGGTGTTTTTCCTCTTCTTGGTAGTCATTTGGTCCTACATTTTTGTTACCCAAATTCTTCTTTTGCATTGAGTGGGCAAAATTAGGTTCTTCATGTTGAGTCGGGGTGTTTTTTGATCAACAATGAATAGTGTCACTTCCTCATGGGAGTTAATGTTTTGCAAATCACTACATAGCTTGCTCACTTTTGAAAGGGAGTCAAACATCAAAATGGTTACTTGTTCCATAATTTTAACTCTTGTTTAAGGTTTGGCCTTGACCGGTTCATGATGGAGCATTTTGCCACCCATTATCAATGAAAAGGAGAAAATAACGGCCTCCTCAGAATTTTATTTTAAGAAGGCTTATGATCATATGGGGATTGAAGTTGCTTGGATAAAGCATTGTGGAGAAAGGGTTTAAAGCTTGAGTGAAGATCATGGATTTGGAATTCTTTTCCATCGATAACTTCTTCATCTTGATTGTTGGTAAACCAAAGGGACCGTTTGGTTGAAGGTTTTGTTAGGTGGGAATGGGCATGGACAAGCTAGATTCATGTTTGTTACAAAATTTTCAACACTTGGAAATAATTTATTCTTAGGCAGTATATTTTCTTATCTGCCCCTTCTCCTTTGTTTTTCATAAATAAATACAAACATATTTTGTTCCTATAAAATTTTGATAACATTTTTCATGCGCAATCAAGCACAATAATATTGTATTCTCAACCATCTTATTCTCAAATATATTATTCTTTGACATTTTTTATTCCCATGCATATATGAAACCTTAAACCAATCTACTATCTTCTCGTTGTGGTTGGAGATGTTCTTAACTGGGGAATTTCAATTGGGGTCAATGAGGGTATTGAAGGTTTAATGCAAGCTGACTTTGATTTGGAAATGAAGATCTTCTTTTGTTTTTGGTCAAGGAGGGTTCTTTTATTAGTCTTTACTCCATTTTGGCAGTATTTGATATTATTTAATGGCTTAAGATTATTAGGGACTTGACAAGATTTATCCATTCCATATAAGTTGTGAGTTCCCAAAACCTTGAGAGATAAGGGCAAGGTGTGAGATTAGTACCATTGATTTTATCCATTCCATACAAGTTGTGAGTTCCTCTTTTCTTGTCTTCTTCTAACTCTTCTTCTTCTTCTTCTTTTTTTTTTTCTTAATGATGAAAGGTGAGGCTTTCTGCTCTAATGGTGCGAGATTGACATGCTTTCATTTAAGATTCTTTCTACTGTGTAAGTTAGGGTGGGTAAGAGATTCTCTATGGGTAGGAAGGTCTCATTTGGTTTGGTGGAAAAGATCATGAGATGTTTAGCCTCGATGAGCTTTTCATGCAACATGCTTATGATTGTCGTCCTGATGAGTGGATTACAAGCCACGACTCTCTGGACTCTTGGAGGATTTTCCTGACTAGTCAACTAATTGTCAACTTCACTGCAGAACCATTTAAAACTATTTTCTAAACCACAGGAACTACTAATGTGTTACTTTGAAATCTTTGGTTGGGACAAAATTTAGGAATTGAAAGTATAATTTACCCTATAATTTTATTAAACTTTTTTCATTTTTTCCAGTCTTTTCATAAAAAAAAAAAAAAAAATGAGCAGTGCCAAAAAATTATAGCCGAAGTGCCCAAACTTGGTTCTTAACTGCAGCTTTTGAGTATCTTGTCTCAAAGCGACTGATCTGCAGGACCACTTATTCTTTCATGTTTATGACTTTGGTACTTTTCATTAAGGTGGCGGATCAGTCATAACTACACTGAGCAATTATGCAGTCATGGATTCAATCAAATGGGCAAAGATCTTGTAGATTCATATAAAAGCTTTCATTTGAGGTTTATGGATATAAACGAATAGAAGGATGTTCAAAGGAAGAATAAGCACGAGTTGTGGAGAGATCTTATGCCTTTCGTTTGTTAGAAAAAAAAGAAGCTGAATCTAATGGAGGTGGGCTAAGTCGTATGGCAGCTTAATATTAGGTTGTGATCATGTATGGCTGGTTTCTCTCAACACTTCTATGTGCCTTGGTGTAGAGCTTGATTCTGTTTTTCAACCAATTCCTTTGTATTTGGTCGTTTTGCTAGTTAGGTAGCAATATATGGTGTATACGATAAACTTAGATTGATTTGCAAAAAAAGTACTGCACATAAATGTATCAATGGTAGAATTCAACAAATTACATTTTCGACTGAATATATTGGTCACTCAATCAGAAATATCTTGTTTTCATGCATGCAAAACAAACTTTGCTAGCTCGAGTGGATAAGCTAGAGATCCTGATAACTGATTATATTTGTCTTCAGTAATCGTGGGTCCTGCTGATATTGTACTATTTCTGGCATGTAGGTGACATACATGGGCAATATTCTGATCTATTAAGGCTTTTTGAATATGGTGGGTTGCCGCCTCATGCTAACTACCTGTTTTTGGGGGATTATGTTGATCGAGGCAAGCAAAGTATTGAAACAATATGTCTTCTTCTGGCTTATAAAATAAAATACCCAGAGAATTTTTTCATATTGAGAGGGAACCATGAATGTGCTTCTATAAACCGAATATACGGCTTTTATGATGAGTGTAAAAGAAGATTTAATGTTAGGATATGGAAGACATTTACAGATTGCTTTAACTGCCTGCCCGTGGCAGCTCTTATTGATGAAAAAATTCTCTGCATGCATGGAGGTTTGTCTCCTGACCTGACTCATTTGGATAGAATTAGAAATATGTCAAGACCAACCGATGTACCGGACACGGGTTTGCTCTGTGATCTTCTATGGTCTGATCCTAGTAAAGATGTTCAAGGTTGGGGAATGAACGACAGGGGTGTTTCGTTTACTTTTGGTGCTGACAAGGTGACGGAGTTTCTTCAGAAGCATGATTTGGATCTCATTTGTCGTGCACATCAGGTTTTTTCTGTTTCAATTTTCGTCTTTAAAATCGTGAAGACTGATTCTACTTTCTTTCTCGTTTTGAGCTTCTAATCTTTTAACTCGTCATTAATTTTATAGGTTGTGGAGGATGGATATGAGTTCTTCGCAAATCGTCAACTTGTAACTATTTTTTCAGCACCTAATTACTGTGGGGAGTTCGATAATGCTGGTGCTATGATGAGTGTGGATGAGACGCTTATGTGTTCATTTCAAATACTAAAGCCCGCAGATAAGAAGCCTAAGGTGACTTTTGGAAGCACTACTACCACAAAACCTGGAAACCCTCCAGCAGGGGTTAAGGTAAACACAGCATTTTGGAAAAAATCTCTCATATTATTACTAGCATTAGTTGGAAGCTTTTATTTACCATTAAGATTAACATGGGATCTTTACTGACCAATTCACTTTCTCAAATATATGATTCTGTAACCTAATGCCCCGAGTCCTAATATCTCGTGTGACAATGCTTGTCGATGATTTTCTGGATAGTTTGTCCGGATCACACAAGTAGTTTGCGTAGATTTCAGTCTTTTGTCGATGATTTTCTGGATAGTCCGGGTCACATAAGTAGTTTGTGTAGATTTCAGTCTCCGTCAACTAAATTGACCCATTAGCTATTCGTAGTTAGGTTGAGTTGGAAGAGTTCATCCGGGTGGATCGAGTCTGTATAGAGTCTAATGTACATACTTGGGAACTTTCTGTTTGTTTTGATCTTGAAATTTTGCAGGCCTTCCTTGGTTCAAAATGATGATTTGGTGAGGCACTTAAAAAGGAGGGCTTTTGCGGCCAGTTGAGTCTACAAAACTTGGAAGTTTTAACTTCTGGAGGAAACTATAGGAGGATTGATCACTTGATTCTAAACTTGAATGTTGAAAATTGTATAAAAGAAATTCAAAATGATTACAAATACTGTTTTCCTCGATGCAAAATTTCAGTTATCGAAGATGGTAGGCTGCAAAAGCCTGCCTTTCTTCCCTTGTACACTAGTTGGCAGCGCCATCGGTACACTATCAGTGCTACAAATTTTTACTGCATGTGTTGTTGCCTATTTAGATATGTTTCTCATATTTCTTTCTTGATATGATGTGTTTGTTATTCATATAGTTCCCACAATGATTTGGTATTCAAAGCCATGTCTTGATATGATGTGTGATCGTTCTTGGTTGATTTTTTATTGAGCATGACTTTCACTTGTTGAGCCTGTGTAGAGTTTGGTCGTTGGTGCATAATTTCAGTGTAATTAAGTAATTAATCAATGGTGATCATACAACCATTTCTTGTGTCACAAAAAAAAAAAAAAACACAGGGATGACAAAGACTTTGGTGGAGTTGGGTCTTTAGGGGCCATGTGTCACAACGTCATAGCTTCCCTTCGCTAAGAGAAAGTAGATTATGGCTTCCGTAGGCAAGTCAGACAAGGGTGACTCTCAAGTGGGGCCATCTAGCCACGTGACTGAGTCAAGAACAGTGCTATGATGTGATTGAGGAGGACTATGTATCATCTAACACACCAAGAATCTGCATTCAAGCTAAGTCGAGGCATACACATGGATTGAGAGAATGAGGTGACACGAGTGTCGAAGACAAGCTCAAAGAGTTTTGGCATGCGGCTCGAGAATTAAGTCTGTCTATATGAAAGATGAAAGCTTACCAAATTTGAATTGGATACTTGATGGACTATGCACGAGGTCATATGTTTGCTTGCCAAAATGACGTCTACTCGAGAATGATTGAAAATGTCTCAGAATGTATTATAGGAGGAGGCATGGTGTTGGCTCTCTACTATCTTTGGGCCATGTGGCCTAAGCGAGTTACCAGGTGGCACATACATGTGTCACATCGTAGGTGAGTGTTTTGAGCATCTTTCTTTGAAAAGGCTCTTTCAAGGATAGTATTGAATGACACATGTGTGTCGATATTGTGCCCCAACCCATGTATCAGAGGTTGGATTATGCACTTGCTATTGGAACGTATGTCATAAATGGTTTAGCATGGACATAAGAGAGTTTGATTCTCGAAAGAACTCGAATGGATGGTTATTCGGGATGTCTCAATAAGATGATCCCAATGAATGTGTCTTGAGCAGGCCAAAATGATCAAGTTGTCTTGGGACATGGGATGACATTATGATGCATGGGTTGTGTTGTTTTTATACAATATATATATATATATATAAAATATTAAGGTTTATAATGTACAATTTTAGAATACATTAATTTTTATATTAAAATTATAACAATACTTTTAAAAACAAATTATTTAAATTAATAAAACAGCACAATAGTACTTTAAAACTAAACTATATATATTTTTAATATATTTATATTTTTTAACTAATTAAATTTGTAATTTTATTTATTTATTTTTAAATTTTCGAGGAAAACCCCCCATTATGGAAAAAGAAAAAGAAAAAGAAAAAAAAAGAAAAAGAAAAACCCTAGATGCGGTGGCACCGGCCAGGGATATCGTACCTCTGTGCCCTAAAACCCTACCTTCTCTGTAAGCCTTTCACCATTACTAAATGCACCAATAGGTCTTCTTCGATTACAGTCATGGCGATGAAATCCATAGGCGAATCAGATGTCGGCATTCTCAGTTACATATCTTCTCTCCCTGGTTTTCGCGGCATTCTTAAGCAAAGGTCTTAGTCCCTTCATTTCTCAGGGCTGCTATGCTGCTCATACCAATTTTGTACTACTATCTGCTTGATTGTGATGAACATATGACGCAAAGTTTTGAATTGGTAATAAAACTAGAATGAATGAGATCGAATGTATTATCTGTTCATGTGCTGTTTTTTGTCCTCTCCCCACTTTTGTAATTTGCTTATCAGTGAATTTTTTGTTGACTCTAAAACAAAATGGCATGATCGAATGTGATCCGTTGTTGTTCTCTTTCTAATCTTTGAGTGAGAGTAAAGCAATGGGCTTTTAGGTTGATGTAGGAATGTTAATTCAGCCATATTCTCACAAGCATTGAATCAAGGGAGGATTTTTCTCTATTTAGAATTTGATTTTTTTTTTTAATTTCACTTTCAGTTGCACTTGTAAGGCTTTTTAAATTTTTATTTATTTTTTTTTTTTTTTGAAAACCGTAAGAATCATATAATTGTAACATTCCCCCCTTGGTTTTGGTATAGGTATTCTGACTTCATTGTGAACGAAGTTGACACTGATGGGAATGTTGTTCATTTGACGTCATTGGATGCTCCTCCAGAGGTGGTCAAATTAACTTTCTCAGTGTTTCTATTACAAGCCTAAAATGTTGATTCTTTTTCCCTTGTGTGTGATGATTTTAATTCTTCTAACACATTCAGATTGTCTCGGAAAGCAAACCGATGAAAGTTCACGGTACAAGTGAGAGTTATGCTTCTGAAATTGAATTGTTTAGATCTCTAGCTGGTGCTTCTGATGCTGAGATTTTGGAAGCTTTTCTTAAGCAAATCAGCTCTGGTGTGGATGACAGTATTTCACCTATTGTATTTGCCCCAGATACAGATAAATCTCATCGAACGGTTGGCTCTTAGACTTTGTTTGTTAATGTATTTGTATATTTGTACTTTGTTAGCTCTTTGTTTTTCTTCTTTTAGCTAATTTCTAGATTATTATAGTTTGGTAGAAACTGATCATTGTCAGATTGATATATCTTTTTATTTTATTTTAAAGTTTTTCTCTCAAAGTGTAACTTCTCTCATCGTCAGTCAAATTTAATGTATAAAAAAAATATTTTTTTAAACTTTTTCACCACCATAGTTTACTCGCTGAATTTTTTTGGTTTTCAGGCTGTTCACAATTTCTTTAAGAAATTTAATTTCCTTGTGACCGATACGGTTGATGGACCAGATTCTTCATCAAAATGTGTCCGTGTGAGAGTAGATTCAGGATTGCAGAATAACCGAGGTCGGGTCTCTAAGAAACGAAAAGAAAGGGGTGATAAACCCTTTGACAGTAGAGGATCAGACAACTGGCCCGAACATGTTGGCAAGTTTCTCAGGTAAGGGCTTTTCTACTTTTTAGTTCTGTTTGTTTTGTGGATGCCTAAAGATTGGGATTTCTTGTTACCTTCCCTTTCTATAAGAAATGTTTTATTTTTCTGCTTGGGACTTACTTCTAATTCTGAATTGATAGATGTACTTTATATGAACCGACTTCTGAATATTTTGTATCTTTCATGATAAATATTTTGTTACTAGCAAAACATGTATGTCAAAATGTAACCAGAATCTTGGCAACTTCGTGCTCTTGCTTTATCTTGATGCTTGATATAAATGCCTATTGGCCTTAATAACAAGTGTTTAAATGATCTTTTTGACAACGAGAAGTTATTTTTTTAATTTTGTTGCTTTAGTGGATATTTTGCCTCTTGTTTTTGTTTTTGTATATTTTGTCTCGTCATTTTTATACCATTACATATAAAAAAATGTTGTACCATAACATTGCATCAATCTAGAATGGAGTTGTTATCAATGAGTCAACCATTGACTGGAAACTCATCTAGATTATTTTGTATGCTAATCCGGTGTCTTTCTTCTTGTTCCATCTAATTTTTATGGTTCCATCTATTTTGATGTTGGATTGTTTATCAACTTTAAGATGTTGCCGAAAAAAATTATAGGTTTCATCTTTACAAGGAGAACAAAGACACACAAGAGGCATTGGGACTTATAGGGAAGATGCTCGGTATCCAGGTATGCATACTCTTAGCATGGCTTATATCTCAATCTAATTTGTTGTTTGGCCGATTCTCTACAAGGAACCTTTGCTTCCTTTTTTCCCCATTTTCTTTTCAATAAATTGGATAAACTTTTTTTATTTTTTTTATTTTGTTACTTTTTTTTAATAAGAAACAATTTCATTGATATATGAAAATTTGATAAACTTTTTGCGAGATCCTTGCTAATCACCTTTCGGGGTGGACACTTAGTCCTATTTGATGTTTGTCCAATTATACTAGTCCTTTGTAATTTTTAGTGTCCTTGTTTCTTTGAGTGCACATTACCCCTTCTTCTCCATTCATAATTCTCTCTTAACCAACCAAAATGGTTAAAATCAGGAAAATGGAACACATGATTGATTTAGTTATAAATAGGAGAGACCCTTTTCTTGCGACTATTATTAGGCTATTAGCAGCAGTTCGTCTAACGATATATCTAGACGGCCACTTACTACTTAATGGTATAAGTTCCTGGTCTTATTTCCCACCCTTTTTTGTGATAAGATACTAATAAATCTCATTCCAAAGGATGAAAATTACAAAAGGCTAGGTAGGAAAGCATCATGTTGTGTTAAGATAAGTTACTTCCAATTAGCACAATAGGAGGTGAGACTGTCTATGGTCTTATATAGAAGGTGAGACTATCTTTAATCGTTTAGAGAATGGCTTGAATATGAGAACTTTTGATTTTCCTTTCTCTTTCCCACTAAAGAAAAAAATTGTTCATTGTGGTCACCTTCTTATTGTTTATTATATCGTATCTCTCTAGATAATTGTAAACTCTATAAAATGGGTATAAATGTAAAGAACATGCTTGATGGATGTTGCTATCTTTTCCTTGTCTCAAAGAAATGTTTGCGAGGTATATTATGATGTCTTTGTGAATATGTAAAAGAATAAACTTGTCTGAATACTTCAGTTTCTTTTTGATGATTTGCTATTAGGTATAGTGGAATGTGTTGGTTCTTTTGTCTTTCATTTGCAATGGGGAAAAACGGTTGCACATTTACTTCATTCTGAATTCATAAATGTACTTTATGCTAGCCCTGGTTACAATAATTATTCTTCTTCCTCACACAAGATCTCTTGGGCAGACGAGGTCTTTCGGTTTTGCTGGTACTAAAGATAAGCGCGCCATCACAACTCAAAGGGTAATTAATAGTGTCTCACCATTTTTCTTGCTTGCTTTTGTATCTTGTTTGTTTTATTAACCACCTATTCCAACCTCAGTTGTTTACTCCTTCTACATTTTATTTAAGCTTCTAAAGGATGCGTTTTGGTAAAATTGATTAGAGCTCTCTTTTAGTTAGTTTGGTTGGAGAAAAATAGAAGAGTTCATAAACTTCCTAGGATAATTTTGAAGTGAGT